TGCCTGTACATAAATGACAAGTGGTGCAGACAGCACACAGTTCGGGAGAAAATTTGTAACTCTGATGTAGAACTGTTATGTGTAAGTCTCAGGCCATTCTATCTACCACGTGAGTTTGGTAACATCCTTATTTGCTCTGTTTATGTACCCCCCAACGGTAATGCCTCACGAGCCGCGACACAGGTGGCAGACTGTGTTCATGAACAATTACAGCGCACCCCAAATGCCCCTATTTTTATCCTTGGAGATTTTAATCATTGTAACTTTAATACTGCACTTCCAGGTTTTGAACAGTATATTAAATGTGATACCAGGAAGAATAGGACTTTGGACAAATGCTATGGAAATTTAAAACATGCATATACAGCCATAGCTAAACCGCCCTTGTCTAACTCTGACCATAATACTGTTCATCTGATTCCTACATATAAGACAGCCCTAAAGAGTTGTAAACCCTTGGTTAAAACTATCAATGTATGGTCAGAAGACAGCATAGAAACACTGAAAGGTTGTTTTTTATGCACAGACTGGGATATTTTCTCTAGGGAGCTAAGCCTGGATAATGCCACAGAAACTACCACAGAATATATAAAATTCTGTGTTGATACTGTGATTCCAAAATGCAAAATAAGTCTACCCCAACAACAAACCGTATATCACAAAGGAGGTGAAGGACTGTATTAACAGGAAAAAACAGGCATTTAAGATTAGAGATCACCTACAACTTAAAACTGTACAAAAAGAGTTGAACCAGAAACTCAAAGAAGCAAAGGAACATCACAGGGGGTTAATAGAGGAAAACCTCCAAACTATGAACTCTAAAAAATTATGGAACTCAATGAAAATAGCCACCAACATGAAACCTACTAAGAAATCTTTGCATGTTGTAGATGAACTGGAAAAAGCTAATGAGTTGAATTATTTTTATAAGAGGTTTGACAATCACGATTTCTCAGTTGAATGTGATATGGTGCTTGATAGTATTGCTATTGATGATACTGATAGGCTAGAGATTGACCCTAAATCTATCAACAAGGTTCTTAAGCAAATCAATGTCAATAAGGCCACAGGTCCAGATGGCATCTCTGCTTTTCTATTAAGAACATGTGCAGATGAACTGACACCTGCCTGGTGCCCCATTTTCCAGAGGTCCCTGCATTCTCACACTGTACCGACACAATGGAAAAAGGCAATTATTACACCTGTCCCTAAGAAACCCTGCCCGCAGGAAAATAACGATTTTAGACCTATTGCCTTAACTTCTGTTGTGATGAAGTGCATGGAAAAGCTCATTATGAGCAAACTACAGCTTGATGTAGGTCCACAGTTAGATCCCTACCAGTTTGCATATAAACACCAGAGAGGCACTGATGATGCAATCAACAGTATAGTGCACCTAGTGACTAAACATCTTGAGAATCCTAAGGCCTATGCCAGACTGTTGTTTGTAGATTTTACTTCAGCCTTTAACACTCTGCAGCCTCATGTTCTCTTGAAAACACTGCAGCGGATGAATGTCAACCCCTTTATTATTAAGTGGTTCCACTCATTTCTGACTAATCGTAGTCAGCAGGTCAGGGTGTATAGGACGTTGTCTGAACCTTTGACCATCAGCACTTGCGCTCCTCAGGGGTGTGTTAGTTCCCCAGTACTGTTCACACTGTACACTAATGAATGTACATGTAGTACTGCTAACAATTACATGATTACGTTCTCTGATGATACAGTTATCCAGGGAGATGGTGTTTGATCCCAAATCCATTGGAGACCACTTACCAGTGGCCATCAATGACCAGAACATAGTCCAGGTTGATTCCTACAGATATCTGGGCATACACATTGATAACAAGCTGACATGGAGTGTCCAGGTAGAAAACATCTGTACTAAGGTTCAACAGCGACTACACTTTTTACGTAGGCTGAGGGTCTTTGGTGTTAACCAGAGAGTGTTGCTTGTCTTCTATCATGCTGTAATTGAGAGCCTTCTGCGGTATGGCATCTCTGCCTGGTTTGGCAATCTCAGTGTACAGCTGAAAGCACAGATTACACGGTTAACACAGAGAGCCATGAAAATCATGGGAGTTAGTCAGCATCCCACACTTCAGGCTGTCTTTGCTGAAACCATCATCAGACAGGCCCGGAAAATTATTTCAGATCCCAGCCATGTCCTCCACCCTGAGTATCAGCTTCTTCCCTCAAGAAGATGCGCTTTAGACTTCCCTAGTGCAGGCTTAACCGCTTTAAGAATTCCTTCGTCCCTCTGTCCATCAAAGCTTTAAATGACAAGTCAGCCAGAGGTTTGCCCCCATAATGGTGTTTTAATTGTAACGATAACGATATTCATGTATATTTTATGTTTTTTTAAATTTTTTATTTATGAATCTTATTATTATGACGATTACAGGTGTGTTGTATGATGTAGTGTGCAACTGGTTGGTTGATAGCAGTTTGTGTATGTGTTGTAGTTATTGTGTGTGTGCATGCATGTGTATGTATTGTATTATGTTACTTATTTAAGCAGCAGTCACTGGATTGTATGTGTCCAAGACAATTTTCCTTCGGGACAATAAAGTCTATCTAATCTAATCTAATCTAATGCGGGCTCTGTGCCGGCATGGGATTGCTCAAACCCGGTTGCTCGGCTCCGTGGCTCTGTTGTTTCTTTCTCCGAGCTTTGCTGAGAGAGGAGAAACAGGAGAGTGGAGCTGCCTTCATTAAAGGCAGTCCGCGAGTGGAGAAGAGCGAGACTCATGCTCTCAGTGAGAGCATTCTGTCTCAGTGAGCACACAGTCTCTGCGTGAGTATTGCCCAGACAGGTGACATGCTCACTGCCCTTCTGCATTGTGCAGGATAACCTGCACAAGCCACACTCGCAACACGACATTTGCAACAATATCGCTAGGAAATTTGCTCAGAAATTTGCTCTTTTAGCATGCCAGATAGCTGCAGGGGAAGGCTTCTCGCCTCTTCCTCTGCCGGGGCTCTTCTACGTCGGCGAGCTACAGGCTGAGCTTCTTGCTTCTTCGGCTTCTTGATCGCAGAATCAGCGAAGAGATTATCCTTGTCACTGAAGGAAAAGAAATCTGAGGATTTTATGGCAAAATGCCTGCTTATATAGCCAGATGGCCCCACCCATTCTGGCGGGCTTCGTCGCCATAGGCATTTGCAGCTCCGCTGCCGAGCCATTGGTTCATTTTTAATTCACTGCACGAACCAATGGCCATGCAGTTACACTGCATTATTGAAAAGGCTTCAGTCATCTGAGAAGCAGGACATTTTCCCCATAGCGTCTTAGCAACGCAGTACGAGTGAAGTAACAATAGGGAACTGGCAGTTCTCACCATGTGAATACTAGTATGCAGTATTGTCACATGTCAATCAGAACCACAAGATGTGTAAAAAGAATCACATGTGAATTGGCTGTAGATACAAAAAAATGCATGTTCAGGAATTGTTTAAAATTTGGTATTATTGTATCTGCATACTAACTATAAGTATGTCTGTAGATTACAGTAGTATTATGCTGCAAACCCCTAAATATAAAGAATGAATACAAGTCAGGAGACTCACAATAAAATGAGGAATATACATGCTTACAAATTGCATTGTGTATTCATGTGGTTTTAATGTGTTATAATATTAAAGCAGAACAAAAAAAATAACCATTAAACTTTTGTTCATATGATAAATCATTAGTGAAAAGGTAGTAAGGTAAGCCTTTTAAAACGTTATAGACAGACAGCCAGTGTCTTGTCAGGCCTCAGAAAGACATTTTATTTTAAATAAAGCAAACACGAATATTAAAAGATGAAAAAAAGAAAACAGTGCAATTGCATAAACTAAACTGATGGTCATGTACTTGCGATGCTAAAATTCAGTGAAGGTTGGGAAAGCACAGAGAGGTTTGCTCTATAATACCGTACTTAAATATCGGGGGGGGGGTCAATGGAAGTCAAGTTGGCTGGTAATGCTCATGTTGACTTCTGTATTTCATGCGCGCACACAGAATGATCAGTAAGAGGATTCATTCCAGCATTTAACTGCAGTTGTCACTCCGGAAGTAAAGCTGAAGTTTTCTCAGATTAATATCAGACTGAAGTTTCTTCCTCTTCAACAGATGCAACTGTTAAATACACACAAAAACAATCTTGTCAGCATTTATGTTTATGTATTTTTCTTCTTTCTGTAATATTAATTACCATCATGTTTGAAAGTAAAATAAATTTGACTAGAAGACAACAAAAGGCATTTATGCAACGAAGTATGCAAGTTGCATAGGGCCACCTAACCACCAAGGGTCCCCTTGCTCTCAAAGACGATTTAATGACCTAAGGCTTTGCCAGAATAGGATAGTTTCATTTTAGATTTTGTTTTACAACAATTATAAAAAAACACAATGCCACAATCCGTTCCTGCCCCTGAAAGCGCTGCGCTGTCACCTTCCTTGTCAGTATATTAGATCTGTGCATTCGGTCTTAAAATGAAGCTGTCTAATAAACCTGCTGCTGTGTCTGTCATTTAATGTTAATCAAACAACAACAGAATATGAGAAAATCATTCACTGCTCTTTACTGATTAACTTTAGTAACTTCAAAAAGAAGAAATGCAAATTAAATTAATATGGTGAAAACTATTCAGTGTTTTATTTTTACATTTGGTTCTTTTATTCAACTTCTGTATACTTGTCAGACTTTTGGACACGTTTTGCCTCCGTAGTTCTTCCTGTGTTTCCTTTTATGGTCTTTCTCCTGTTCTTGTTTAGTTTGATTACCTTTTGATTCTATGCACCTGTGTTCCCCTGATTGCCCTGTGTTTATAAACCCCATTCTGTTCAGTTTGGTTTTGCCGTGTGTACTTGTTGTGAACGTCTTTCTTGTGCTTTGTGTCTCCCTGTTGGATAATTAAAGACTCTCGTTTTGTGAAATCTCCACGTCTCCTTGTTCCCGTGCTCCAGCGGATTGTGACAATACTAGGCTATTATTTTTAGTAGATTATTACTAAATTACTAGATTATTTTAATAGATTTAGTAAATTATTTCATTTTTATCTCTTTGTTTTCTATTGTATTATTATTATTGTATTACTGACTGTATTTATTGTATTTCTCACTGTTGTTTTTTGACAGTGAAACTGGGGCGGGGGTCATTTGGGGTTTTTATGAACACACTGACAGGGGCCTCCTGATGAAGTTTTCCTTAAGTCTAGGACCGGGACTGCATGTCTATGTCAGTGAGGGAATTTGTGTATTTATAGCACAAAAAAAAGATACATAAGAACAGATGGTTTCAATACAATATTAAATATGTTGTTTTTGAAGCAGCTTTACACAGAACATATCCTCAGTAAGTAAGCCAAAGATGATAACTAAATAATACTTGGTATGACCATACCAGACTCATTTGTTGGTCAATTAAATATAGTGATTATAAAATCAAATAAGTTAGTCAGCTATTTTACCTCTCATCCTGTAGCATTTGAAGATCAGCACGACTGTCACTAGCAGATATGGACAAACTGCCAGTACAGAACTGAGTGTGTGGAGGACTGAGATCTGAGACACTGAAAAAGAGACACAAAATAACTGAATTAAGCTTTATATCCGAACGAGAGCATATGAAGAAATAAATCAGCTCACACTTTCATTAACTCTCACCTCTAACTGAGATCCAGCTCTTGGGTGTCTCTCCTCTCTCTGGGTGTTTGCAGTAGTAGAAACCCTCATGTGACTTTGAGACAGTAGAGATGATCATCTCTGTAGTTTGATTCTGGATGAGTGATCCATCTTTATAGAAATCAGCTCTGAGGTTTGGTGGGGTTGAATATGGATATAAACAGTGCAGAGTCAGAGAATCTCCTCCAGTCACAGGATGAACAGGACTCTCCAGAATCACACCAGCTATAGAAACAAAGGAAACAATAAAGTAAAAACAACATTTTTGTGGTATTTGCCCACAGTACTAGGATGTTTGAAATTGTTTTTATGTGCTTTGGTGTTCTGTGTGATTACTAGGGAATAGCTTGGCAGATGCTTAATGACTGAAGTCAACCCAGCCAAAGTCTGTAGTCTGGTTTTAGATATGAGTTGCATGATGCCTTTTCAATTATAGAAATTGTTGAAGTGCATATTCATGCACTTGTTTAATCAATCTGCTTTATGTATGGATTGTAACTGCCAGTGAAATTAATAAATACAGACTCACAGTGTACAGAGATATTAACAGGATGATAGTTCTCTCCAGATTCAGACTGACACCAGTACACTCCAGTGTCTGCTGTGCTGGTGTAGCTGATTGTACATGTAGATCCTATTTGTGATCTCCACGGTGATGACGAACAATCTTCTACCTGTCCACTGACTGTGTATCTTCTCACTCTCCATCCATCAGAGTTTCTCTGATCTTTACAGCTCAGAGAGAGAGAGACAGATGTGAAGTGTTGAGTTCTACTGGGACTGATGATCAGAGACACTAGAGGAGAAACACCTGGGAAGACAATTACAGCTCTATTTTTTTCAGATTTAAGCATTAAAATTATTGATCTTAATAAAGATGAACCAATCGTTTAAGCTCTGATTGAACTCACCGGTAACCCATAGTGGTTGTGTGTTGCTGTAGGTTGTGTAAATGACTGGTTTATCTGTCTCAGCTCTGCACACATAAACTCCTGTGTGATTTAGAGCAGCAGAACTGACAGTGTAGTTTCCTCCAGCTCCTCTGCTGCTGTCTGAGAGCAGCTGATAACGATTACTGTAGTCTGTAAAAATGTGCAGTTCCTTAACATGTATTTCTACATGGTTTGACCTTTATAAGTATACAACAATCAAATGTTAAAAAAGTAATATTTCTGACTTCCATTAATAATAATAATAATAATAATAATAATAATAATAATAATAATTTTATTTGTAATGTGCATAGTCAAAATGTTACATGTCTGTAACATGTTACAGAATACAAAATAACATTGTATAATAATACATTGTATATAATAACAAGTCACAATAACAATCACAGATTAAAAGTTTTATTAAAAGATGTGTTTTGAGTAGTTTCTTAAAACAATCAAAAGAAGAAGCATTCCTAATAGAAGCAGGTAATGAATTTAATAACTTTGAAGCAATGCAAGAAAAGCTCTCCCTCTCATGGTTTTTGAGTTTTGAGAGGCTGACAAAAAGAAAAAGAACCAGCAGAGTGGAGAGAACGATAAGGTATGGATGGTGTAATCAAATCACAAATGTAAACTCGTGCTAATCCATGTACTGCAAATACAGAGAGTTCACCACAAGGTGCAAACAAAGCCAGATTAGACTTTGCCAAAAAACATCTAAAAAAGCCAGACCTCTTCTGGAAAAGCATTCTTTGGACTGCTGAAATTAAGATCAACCTGTACCAGAATGACGCGAAGAACAAAATATGGAGAAGACTTGGAACAGCTCATGATCCAAAGCATACAACATCATCTGAGAAACATGGTGGAGCAGTGTGATGGCATGAGCATGCATGGTTTCCAGTGGCACTGGGTTTCTGGTGTTTATTGATGACGTGACAGAAGACAGAAGCAGCCGGAAGAATTCTGAAGTGCACTGGAATATATTGCCTGCCCAAAGTTGATTGGACGTCCCTTCATAGTACAAGTGGACAATGACCCAAAACATACAGCAAAAACAACCCAGGAGTTTTTGAAGGTAAAAAAGTGGAATATTCTGCAATGGCCAAGTCAATCTCCTGATTTCAACCCGATTGAGCATGCATTTCACTTGCTGAAGACAAAACGAAAGACAGACAGGGTTTCTGCGGGTCTTAAAAAAGTCTTAAAAAGTCTTACATTTAGTTGTATCAAATTAAAGGCCTTAAAAATCTTAAATTGTACATGAAAGTCTTAATTATGATTTCAAGAGGCCTTAAATTTGGGGACAGAAAGACCAGAATTGCGATATGGCTGAATGTGACGATTAAACTTCAAAAGGCTATGATTTCATTGAATAAACATGAGCGCTACACATTCAAAGTCCGTTGCTGCGCTGCTTTGTGTATAGCGTTACCGGGGAAACAGTTATATTTCTACCAAACGCTCCACCTGCTGGCAGAGAATGGATGAGAGCATTTTCAATAAAACTGTTGTTTTGTTCAGAGTTCAGACAAATGCAAAAATCGACCCATGTTTTTACCCTGCAAACACGCAGAGCTTTAAATGTGAACTGGTGGATCGATAAGAAGACAATGCATTAGATTTCATTGAATAAACATGAGCGCTACACATTCAAAGCGTTACCGGGGAAACAGTTATATTTCTACCAAACGCTCCAGCTGCTGGCAGAGAATGGATGAGAGCATTTTCAATAAAACTGTTGTTTTGTTCAGAGTTCAGACAAATGCAAAAATCGACCCATGTTTTTACCCTGCAAACACGCAGAGCTTTAAATGTGAACTGGTGGATCGATAAGAAGACAATGCATTATAAAAATCGAATAGGGGTGTGCAGATATGCATGGTCTGCATGCATGAGTGTGCATCTGAGTGCGCGCATACATTACATGGTGAAGTCTAGCAGGTTAGACTAGTGCGCGTGCACATTTATGGTGCGTTCTTTCACTGCATGAATCAGTCTATTAAAATCCATTTAGAATTACATAATTCAAGATATGAGGCAGAAAATGTATATATTTTTATAATTTTATATAGTTCATATTCGAATCTGAATCCGAATTAGCTTTATTGCCAGGTATGTTTACACATACAAGGAATTTGTTTTAGTGACAGAAGCTCCACAGTGCAACAGAATGACAGTGACAAGACAGGACATAGATAAGAAAAAGAATAATATACAAATATACAAAATAGACAATGTACAAAATAGCAAAAACACAATATATAATATAGACAATTATGTATGTACAGGTATGATATGTGCAAATTTGAAATGTAAAAAAGGTTGTGTGTTAAATAAATAAATGTATAGTAGTGTTGTGTGTTCCACGTTTATTGTCAGTGTTCATGAGATGGATTGCTTGAGGGAAGAAACTGTTCTTGTGTCTGGCCGTTCTGGTGCGCAGTACTCTGTAGCGTCAACCAGATGGCAACAGTTCAAAGAGGGAGTGGGCTGGATGTGAGGGGTTCAGAGTGATTTTGGCAGCCTTTTTGCTGGCTCTGGATGAGTACAGTTCTTGGAGAGTAGGGAGGGTTGTACCAGTGATTCGCTCAGCAGTCCGGACTATCCTCTGTAGTCTTCTGAGGTCAGATTTGGTAGCTGAGCTGAACCAGACAGTTATTGAAGTGCAGAGGACGGATTCAATGATGGCGGAGTAGAACTGTTTCAGCAGCTCCTGTGGCAGGTTGAACTTCCTTAGTTGGCGAAGGAAATACAGCCTCTGCTGGGCCTTTTTAACAATAGACTCAATGTGAGTGTCCCACTTCAAATCCTGAGAGATTGTGGTGCACAGGAACCTGAAAGACTCCACTGTTGTTACAATGCTGTCCATGATGGTGAGTGGGGGGAGAGCAGGGGGGTTCCTCCTGAAGTCCACTATCATTTCCACAGTTTTGAGCGTGTTCAGCTCCAGGCTGTTAAGACTGCACCAGACAGCCAGCTCATTAACCTCCTGTCTGTAAGCAGACTCGTCACCGTCCTGAATGAGGCAGATGAGTGTGGTGTCGTCTGCAAACTTCAGGAGCTTGACAGAGGCGTCTTTAGACGTGCAGTCGTTGGTGTACAGGGAGAAGAGCAGTGGGGAGAGAACACAACCCTGGGGGGCGCCA